TTTTTTAATTAAAAAACAAATAATTTTTAAAAAAATATTTTTTTTAAATTTTTTAAAAAAAAATTATAAATTCATAAAAATTCTTCCGAAAATATTTTCCAAAAATCTACCGTGCCTTAGATACTCCTAGAAATATTTTTGAAAAATTCTCATGACATCAAGAGCCTTAAATGCCCCACAAAAAATAATTCGGAAAATTGTCTCCCAAAATATTTTCAAAAAAATCACGTAGCCTAGCTATGCTGGAAATATTTTTGAAAAAAAAAAAAAAACAATTCGGAAAATTGTCTACAGCATTTGTAATAAATAAATAAATAAATAATTATTTTTTTTAATTTTTATTTTCTTTTCCTTTTCCCTCGATTTTTTTCTTTGCTGTTCAATTTCAATGGCTCTCCATGTTTAGCTGAATAAACACGGCAGAAATTACCAATAATTGTCTAAACATAAACACTTTCGAAATTTCAATTTAATATTTCCGTTTTTTTTTTTTTTGCTCTTATCCTCCAGCCACGCGATATAGCCAGTCAGTCAGTCCAACCATCCAGCCGCTCAAATAATATTTCCCGATTATTGACTTTTCACCATTCATTTATGCGCGAGCGGATGCCTAATGACTTAATCGAAGAGAAATATTCTGTAATTATCATTGGATTACTGGCGGAGTGGCGGGACAAAAAATTCATTCCAATTCATTTATTCAGTTATTCATAGCCGCGGCGGTCGGGAACAAATAGCTCAACACTTTAGACCAATTAATTGTTGATTAAACACAGAAACAAAACAAAAACCAACAACAACAGCGAAATTGAAATGTTATTTGATAATTGTTTAAGTACCGCATTTTAATTGAGGTAGCCGGTCGGTCGGCCGGCTGGACCAAATAAGCGACCAACCGCACCGGCGAGTGGGAGAGAAAAAGTATCGATTCCAAAGCCACAATTTGCCAACCGAACAACAGTAGACAGCCAGCCTTAAAATGTGAGCCCAGCACTTGGCAAGACAACAGTCAAAACGACAGTCAGTCCTCCGATCAGTCAGTCAGCCACCCAATAAGGCATTCATTTAATGATACGCTCGCTTACTTCTATTTCTGGTCTCGTGTCGCTTCCATGAATGGCTTGGCAAAAAAAAAAAAAAAAAAAAAAAACATAGCCAACGAAAATAATTAGAAATTCATAGGCTACCGCCGCCGCCACCACTGCCACCAAGGCATATCATCAGAGCAAATATCTGTCACATTGTTGTGATGACAATATTTCAAAGGGGAAGTCTATACATCAATCTAGTCGTAGTCGTCAGCTCCATAACTAATATTTTTGGTATTATGCACATAATTTAACATTTAATTGTTTGGAAACACACAATCCAAATAGTTTTGAAATGATTGCAAACATATGTAACACATGGGCTCTCCTACGGCACATGGCATGCAAACAAAATAGGAAATGTGTGGAAAATGGAAAATCATTCAAGGACAAATTTTATGGAGATGAGACTTTTTCGAACTTCCATTCTCTCTCCATTTTTCTCAACCTATATCAGATTATATCGCACTCTCCCTCCATTACTCTCTCGCTCTCTTTTTTCTGACACTCAAAAATTTGCCTTACGGATAAAAACAGATAGTGGCGGATAACGATCTTAGAGTCGATTTTTAGCTTTCAAATTTATGGAACGACTTAATTTTTAAAATTTTCACAATTCAGAGTCAATTTCTCTGAGTTTTCATCACTTTGAGATTTTTCGGATAAAAACGGATAGTTGCGGATAACGATCTTAGAGTCGATTTTTGACCTTCAAATTTATAAAAGGACTTTATTATTACATTTTACACAATTCCAAGTCAATTTTTCGTCGTTTTCGGCACTCTGAGGTTTTTCGGATAAAAACGGATAAACGCGGATAATGGCCTTCGAGGAAATTTTTGGACTTTCCAATGCATGGAATGGCTTCATAATTGAATTTTAGAAAATTCCGAGTCAATTTTTCGTCGTTTTCGGCGCTCTGAGATTTTTTGGATAAAAACGGATAAACGCGGATAACGACTTTAGAGTCGATCTTAGAACTTCCCAATGTACGGAGTGGCTTCATTATTGAAGTTTACATAATTCTGCATCAATTTTTCCTAGTTTTCGTAATCTTGAGATTTTTCGGATGAAAACGGATAAGCGCGGATAATGACCTTAGAGTCGATTTTTTGACTTTCCGATGTATGGAATGGCTTTATTATAGCATTTTAAATAATACTGAGTCATTTTTTCTTAATTTTCGCCACTTTGAGATTTTTCGGATAAAAACGGATAAGTGCGGATAACGACCTTAGAGAAGATTTTTTGACATTCCAATGCATGGAATGGCTGCATAATTGAATTTTAGATAATTCCGAATCAATTTTTCGTCGTTTTCGTGACTTTAAGATTTTTTCGGATAAAAACGGATAAACGCGGATAACGACCTTAGAGAAGACTTTTTTGCTTTTAAATGTAGTGAATGGCTTTATTATTACATTTTACACAATTCCAAGTCAATTTTTCGTCGTTTTCGGCACTCTAAGATTTTTCGGATAAAAACGGATAAGCGCGGATAAGACCTTAGAGAAGACATTTTTGCTTTTAAGTGAATAGAATAGCTTTATTATTGCATTTTATATAATTCTGCATCAATTTTTCATAGTTTTCGTCTCCTTGAGATTATTCGGATAAAAACGGATAAACGCGGATAACGACCTTATAGAAGACTTTTTTGTTTTAAAATTATGGAAATGCTTTATTACTGCATTTTATATTTTTCTGAGTCAATTTTTGGTTGTTTTTGGTATTTTGAGATTTTTCGGATAAAAACGGATAAACGCGGATAACGACCTTAGAGTCGATTTTTCGACTTTCCAATTTATAGAACGCCTTATTATTGCATTTTACATAATTCTGCGTCAATTTTTAGTCGTTTTCGGATTATGGCCTTCGAGGCAATTTTTTGACCTTATAATGCATGTAATGGCTTTATTGCCGCATTTTATATTTTCCTGAGTCAATTTTTCTTTGTTTTCGGCACTTTGAAATTTTTCAGATAAAAATGGATAAGCGCGGATAACGACCTTAGCGTAGATTTTTTGAGTTTCGGATTTATGGAATTGCTTTATCATTACATTTTACATAGTTCCGAGTGAATTTTTCGTCGTTTTCATCACTTTGAGATTTTTCGGATAAAAACGGATAAGCGCGGATAACGACCTTAGGGAAGATTTTTTCGCTTCTAAATGTATGGAATGGCTTCATTATTGAGTTTTACATAATTCTGCATAAATTTTTCCTAATTTTCGTCATCTTGAGATTTTTCAGATAAAAACGGATAAGCGCGGATAACGACCTTGGAGAAGATTTTTTGACTTTCCAATGCATGGAATGGCTTCATAATTGAATTTTAAATAATTCCGAGTCAACTTTTCGTCGTTTTCGTCACTTTGAGATTTTTTGGATAAAAACGGATAAACGCGGATAACGACTTTAGAGTCGATCTTAGAACTTCCCAATGTACGGAGTGGCTTCATTATTGAAGTTTACATAATTCTGCATCAATTTTTCGTCGTTTTCGGCATTTTGAGATTTTTTGGATAAAAACGGATAAGCGCGGATAACGACCTTATAGAAGACTTTTTTGCTTTTAAATGTATGGAATGCCTTTATTAATGAATTTTACATAATTTTGAGTCAAAATTGTTTAGTTTTCGTCGCCTTGGGATTTTTCGGATAAAAACGGATAACCGCCGATAACGATATTGGAGAAGATTTTTTGCTTTTAAATGTATGGAATGGTTTTGTTATTGCATTTTACATAATTGTGAGTCAATTTTTCTCAGTTTTCATCACTTTGAGATTTTTCGGATAAAAACGGATAAGCGCGGATAACGACCTTCGAGTTGGTTTTTCGACTTTTCAATGTTGAAATGGCTTCATTATTGCATTTTTCATAATTCTGCATCAATTTTTAGTTGTTTCCGCCACTTTGAGATTTTTCGGATAAAAACGGATAAGCGCGGATAAAGGGGTTTCAATAAACTTTTGATTGTTTTTATAATTGGAACCTGTTGTTGATATTCCCTGGAATTGTTCTAATCTAATTTTGGAACATTTTTGCTCTCGAAAATTTTATTTATTTATTTTTTAAACAAAAGACAAAAACTTCTACTGCCCAAACTTCCCACATTGACCTCGTATCACCAAATGAACCCTTTCAAAATTAGTTGTAATTTAATTTCCAAATTAATTATGACTATTTTAAAAGAAAAGAAAAATAACTTTGCAAAGTTGATGATCTCATTTCTTGAATTACGCAGCCAGTAACGGAAGTGGATCAATTTTACGCATAAGAGGCCCACCACCACTCGCTCGCTTTGTACATCATTATCAAGTCCAAGCCGAAAGTCTCCAAAAAACAACTGATGATTAATAACAGTTTATGATCCCGATAATGGGGCCCCGATTGAGAAATAGCATAGCTGTGAGCTGTGAGTGTGTCGAACCATTACACGAAAAAAGATAATGATACGGAAAGAGATTAGATAAGATTGGTCGCTTGGAAAGCTTTGTTTTCCATTTTGGTGACTAGCGAATCAGCAATGCTGGAATGTAAACATAAACGGGTGTAACCTATTTTTTTTTCGTGGGCCCAGGCAAAGAAGGGCACTTCTTCACAATGAATATAACTGTGAACTGAGCATGGACCTTATCTGAGCTATTTCGTTGCGGCTGCAAGTGTATGGCGGGGTTTCGCCTGATATGAGTCGTATAGATTGAAGGCTTCCAGAGGTTTATCTTATCTTATCAATAGCTCTCGCCGTACACACACACACATACTTCGGCACCTGTAGCTATTATTTAGATATGCAAGTGTACGTACAATAGCAACAGGTTATACCAAGATAATGGGAGAAAGAATGAAAGAAAAAATCACTTGTTGTGTAGAATTATTTTTTTGTAGCTTTCGAGAGGGGCTACACGATATCATTTGTCGCCCAATTGTGTCAGTAAACGAACGAAAACGCAACGAAAAATAAAGAATACACTGGAAGAAGAAAAATCCAAAAAAGAAAACTTTGTGGAAAATTTAAAAAAAAAATTAATTTGGAAAAATACAATTTAGAAAAAAAAAACAGAAACAGATCAACGAACGAAAAAATGGTGTCCATCGAAACAATTGGTTCAATATTCATCAAGGCCTTGAAATTGGTAAATGGAAATCCAAAAATCCTATAAATGAATCATAAAAAAATCTCAAAGAGATCTGAAAAAGACAACACGTGGATACTGAAATACAAATTTCCATCATTGAATCCATAAAAAGTGCCTAAAAACAGCGTTCCGTTATTTTCCGCCAGCCGAAACTACCTACAATAGCTCTAAAAAATTTCAACGAACTCTAGGGACTATCACCACCACTTTCTAGTCATCAAAACACCAGGAAATCAACTTAAACCCCTTTATCCGAGATTATCCGTTTTTATCCGAATAAATCTCAAAATACCGGAAACAACGAAAATTTAACTCAGGATTATGTGAAACGCCATAATAAAGCCATTCCATATTTTAGAATAGAATAGAATATTCGAAAATAATAAAACCTATCCATACATTAGAAATTCAAAAAACCAACTCTACGGCTGTTATCCGCGCTTATTCGTTTCTATCCGAAAAATCTCAAAATGCCGGAAACAACAAAAAATAAACGCAGAATTAAGAATAATGCAGTAATAAAGCCTCACCATACATTAGAAAGTCAAAAAACTGCCTCGAAGGCTGTTATCCACGCTTATCCGTTTTTATCCGAAAAATCTCAAAATGTCGGAAACAACTAAAAATTGATGCAGAATAATGTAGAGTGCAATAATAAAGCCTCTCCATACATTAGAAAGTCAAAAAACCGCCTCGAAGGCTGTTATCCGCGCTTATCCGTTTTTATCCGCAAAATCTCAAAATGCCGGAAACAACGAAAAATTAATGCGGAATTATGTAAAATGCAGTAACGAAGCAATTCCATACTTTGGAAAGTCAAAAAACCGCATCGAAGGCTGTTATCCGCTCTTATCCGTTTTTATCCGAAATATCTGAAAATTACAGAAACAAAGAAAAATTGATGCGGAATTATGTAAAATCCAATAACAGAGCCATTTCATGCGTTGAAAAGTCAAAAAATCATCTTAAAGGCTGTTATCCGCGCTTATCCGTTTTTATACGAAAAATCTCAAAATGATGGAAAATGTTCAAAATTGATTTCGAGTTGTTTACAATATCAAAATAAAGCCATTTCTGCAATTAAAATGTTATAAAATTGGCCCTAAGCATGTTATCCGCGTCTATCCGTTTTTATCCAAAAAATCTAAAAATTATGAAAACTTTCAAAAATCGATTTCGAATTGTTTACAATGTCTAAACAAAGCCATTTTTGAGTTTAAAATGTCATAAAATTGCCCCTAAGCTTGTTATCCGCGTTTATCCGAAAAATCTCAAAATGATGGAAAATGTTCAAAATTGATTTCGAGTTGTTTACAATATCAAAATGAAGCCATTTCTGAGCTTAAATTGTCATAAAATTGCCCCTAAGTTCATTATCCGCGCTTATCCGTTTTTATCCGAAAAATCTCAAGATGATGGAAAATGTTCAAAATTGATTTCGAGTTGTTTACAATATCAAAATAAATCCATTTTTGAGTTTAAAATGTCATAAAATTGCCCCTAAGCTTGTTATCCGCGTTTATCCGAAAAATCTTAAAATGATGGAAAATGTTCAAAATTGATTTCAAATTGTTTACAATGTCTAAACAAAACCATTTCTGAGCTTAAAATACCATGAAATTGCCCCTAAGCTTGTTATCCGCGTTTATCCGTTTTTATCCGAAAAATCTCAAGTTGAGGGAAATGTGTGGAATTTTCCTCGGAATGGTATCTTAGCCCCTAAAATGGTTAAATATTGTAAAATATTGATTTTTACACGAAATTCATTAGTTTTTGGTGTTATCCGGGATTATCCGTTTTTATCCAAATTTATCCAAAAGACTTCTAAGCAGTAAAAATAATAAAATTTAGTTAAGTTTTGCTTATTAGGTGTATTTTTTGAGTTTTTATGGTTATCCAAATTTATCCGAAAACCATTAAAAATTACAATTTTATGTGAATTAGCCTCAAAGTATTCCCAACTTTCATTTTTTAATTTTTTTCATCATTCATTTTTCACAAAACAGAGCTAATTTGTCTATCCACGAAAAGTGGTATATTTTGATAACGACCAAAGATAATGGGAATTACAAACATTTACAAGAACGTCAACTAACCAGCCCCACCTCCCCCCACCACCAACCTTTGTCAACGAAAAATTTCCAAAAATTACACAACTGCTCGGAAAAAGAAAATAAAACTCAATTTATTTACCTTGAATATGAGCGCTGGTATTTGGGGTGGGTATCGCTTTGCCATAATAAGCTTTATTAATTACTCATACACCGTTTGTCAGGTACACCAATACCAATGCAATGGATTCGAAACCACATGCGTTCATCATGATACAAAAATATAACAAGACGTTATTAACTTGTTTGCTGTTGTTATTTCTTTCAAAAACGAAATTGACCACATTTATGGGAGTGGCATTTTTGGGATCAAAGAGAAATATTGTAATTCAATCAAAGAATTTTTTGTTTTTGAAAAGTAATAATACGACACCTTATTTGGAGCCTCTATGTCAAGACTGCCGTGATTCATTGGGTTCGATGGCAAAAAACAAAAACATGTGTTAAATTAATTGCAAATGCAAATGATTTTCAAACACCTGAATAGAAATGGTTGTGGTAATTAAGGGCAGAAAACCTACGCGGAATACTAAACTAAATTAGTCATGAGCGAAGAAATCGAAAGAAAAAATTATAAAATCGATTAAAAAAATTCAAAAATCTTATCAAAAATCTAATTTTTAGGTTGCGGATAAAAATGGATAAAAAATTTCTACCAAGAAATTATGTCCTAAAACTCATTTAATGACTTGCAGGTACATATTTTCTTCATTTTTTACCCAATTTTTTGAAAAAAATTCATTGACGGATAAAAACGGATAAATTTGGATAAAATCAAATCGGGATATTTTTTATCAAAATAATGCTTAAAATGGTTTACAACTGTTCTCTAAGTAATCTATGTACTTCTAAGGCCTTTTTCGGCAAAATCTAGTTTGCGGATAAAAACGGATAAACGCGGATAACTGATTTTTTGAAGATTTTTCATCAAAATTGGCATCCCTAATAATCTACATTACTCCTATAGACAAATCGCGAATTTAAAAGGCTATTTTAGCAAAATTATCATTTGCGGATAAAAACGGATAAACGCGGATAACTTATTTTCGGAGGATTTTTCATAAAAATTTGCATTCCCAAGCAATCTACATTGCTCTCGTAGGCAACTCTAATGTTTTAAAGTATATAATTGCAAAATTTTCATCTGCGGATAAAAACGGATAAACGCGGATAACTTATTTTCGGAGGATTTTTCATAAAAATTTGCATTCCCAAGCAATCTACATTGCTCTCGTAGGCAACTCTAATGTTTTAAAGTATATAATTGCAAAATTTTCATCTGCGGATAAAAACGGATAAACGAGGATAACTAATTTTCGGAGGATTTTTCACAAAAATTTTGATTTCCAAGCAATGTACATTACTCCCGCAGGCAACCTATGTGTTTTAAAGTCGATTTTTGGGAAATTTGCATCTGCGGATAAAAACGGATAAACGCGGATAACTGATTTTTTGAAGATTTTTCATCGAAATTTATGTCTTTACATATATACATTACTCCTATGGACAATCTAAGTGTTTTGAATGCAATTTTCATAATAATTTCATTCACGGATAAAAACGGATAATGGGGGATAACTAATTTTCGGAGGGGTTTTCATTAAAAAGAGTACTCCTAAGTAATCTACATTACTCCCATAGACTACCTAAGTATTTTAAGACAATATTCATGAAAATTTGTTCTGCGGATAAAAACGGATAAACGCGGATAACAGATTTTTAGGAGTTTTTCCATGAAAATTCGCATTCCCAAGCAATCTGCATTACACCTATAAACAACCCGCATGTTTTTAAGACTATTTTTATTAAGATTTTCATACGCGGATAAAAATGGATAAAAACGGATAATTAATTTTTAAAACTTTTTTTGTCAAATTTGGTATTTCCAACCTCCCACATTCATCCTATAAACATCTGAAGTGTTTTAAACGCCATTTTTGGTCAAATTTTCGTAAACGGATAAAAATGGATAAAAACGGATAATAATATTTTTTTGGGAGTTTTTCATTCAAATTAACATCCCAAATTAATACAAATGTATTCCCTAAACAATTTGAGAATTTTCATGCAATTTTAAGCAATATATACGTCTACGGATAAAAGTGGATAAAAACGGATAAACGCGGATAAGACATTTTCACGTCAAATAATGAAGAAAATTTCTAGTTATGCCTATATTAAGATCAAAAATGTTGCTGAAATAACGTTTTTGCAACATTTTGAAAGAATTTGAAAATTTGGATAAAAACGGATAAACGCGGATAAAGCATTTTTAGACCAAATATTGAAAAAAAAATGCTAGCCATTACTATATTGAGGCCAAATATGATCCTAAAGTTAGGTTTTTGCAATATTTTGAAAGAATTGCAATATGCGGATAAAAACGGATAAACGCGGATAAAGCTGTTTTTGGTCAAATATCGGAAAATTTTAACATTATTTATAAAACTGAGAACCAGCATGATCCGAAAATTATTTTTCGTCAAATTTTGAAACAATTTGGAGAATTCGGATAAAAACGAATAAACGCGGATAATGCAATTTTTGGTCAAAAATTGAAAAAATTTAAATGCCATGATAAAATTGAGCTCCCGCTTGATCGGAAAACTAATTTTTGTCCAATTTTGAGATAATTTGGAGAATTCGGATAAAAACGGATAAACGCGGATAATGCAGTGTTTGGTCTAAAATTGAAAAAAATTAATTGTTAAGATAATATTGAGATTCCGCTCGATCTTAAAATTAAATTTGGTTCAATTTTGAAACAATTTGAATATTCGGATAAAAACGGATAAACGCGGATAATGCAGTTTTTGCCCAAAAATTGAAAAAAATTAAATGCCATGATAATATTGAAATCCCGCTCGATCTTAAAATTAAATTTGGTTCAATTTTGAGACAATTTGAAAATTCGGATAAAACGGATAAACGCGGATAAATACATTTTATATCAAAAATTGAAAAAAAAACTGCTGTGATAATATTGAGATCCCGCTTAATCTGAAAACAAATTTTTGTCCAATTTGGAGATAATTTGAAAATGCGGATAAAAACGGATAAACGCGGATAAGACAATTTTTGGTCAAAAATTGAAAAAAAAATAAACTTCTGTGATAATATTGAGATCCCGCTTAATATAAAAATTAATTTTCGTCAAATTTTGATGAAATTTGAGGATGCGGATAAAACGGATAAAGGCGGATAAGTAAATTTTATATCAAAAATTTAAAAAAAAATAACTTCTGTGATAACATTGAGATCCCGCTTAATATAAAAATTTTGATGAAATTTGAGAATTCGGATAAAAACGGATAAACGCGGATAATGCAATTTTTGGTCGAATATCGAAAAAATTTTACTTTTATAATAAAATTTAGATCCATCTCGATCTGAAAATTAATTTTTCACAAATTTTGAAACAATTCGAAAGTTCGGATAAAAACGGATAAGCGCGGATAATGCAATTTTTGGTCAAAAATCGAAAAAAATGTATCTTTTTTATAAAACAGAGATCTAGAATGATCTAAAAATTAACGTTTCACAACTTTTGAAACAATTCGGAAATTCGGATAAAAACGGATAAACGCGGATAAAACAGTTTTTTTTGTCAAAAACCGACAAAATTTAACTTTTTTATAAACCTGAGATCCAGCATGATCTGAAAATTAGTTTTTGTCAAATTTTGAAACAATTTGGAAAATGCGGATAAAAACGGATAAACGCGGATAAGTCAATTTTCGGCCAAATAATGAAAATTTTCTTTTTCTAGGGACTAGTTTTTAATGAAAACTATTTAATTTAAATTTAGTGAAATTTTCTAACAAATTTCCCCTTTGCATTTCCCCTGCAGGTCATCAATTTGATTGTCTTGATTTTGTATCGCATTGGTGATGGCGGTGAGTTCTTGGGCGTTGGCGGTACATGGAATTTGAATGAGGAGAAGAGTGCGGATTGTGAGATAGTGGCATCGGGTGTGATGGTGGGTTTCTTCATTTACACTGGCGTCCATACCATTGCCTTCCTGTTTGGCACCACCAAACATAAGAGGTGCGTACTTGGATTTTTCTCGAAGAGAATCTAATGGATTATGGGTTAATTTTTTTTCCAGGGAATTATCCGATACCATTATGAATGTGGTGGGCACCCTTATGTGGGTGGCCGTGGGTGGTGTGGCCCTACACTACTGGAAGGGTTACATGAAGGATAACGATTTCTTGTACGTGGCCTCGGAGAGACAAGTTGGCATTGCCATGGGTGCCTTGTGTGTCATTGAGGGTGCTCTCTATCTCTTGGATACGGTCTTGGCTTGTATACATTACTCCAAGGGAGATACTGAATATGTGCAGTAAATTTTCGACATGGGAAGAGGCACCTTTCTTGGATACAAAAGCGAAAAAAATGGAACAAATTGTCGAGGAGAGGAAAGATGCCAAAAAGAGAGCGTGAGCGAGAGGCGACAGACATGGAAAGGTGTATTTCTTTATTTTAAGCCATATAACGAATATATTTTACAAATTTTATAATTATTATTTTCCGTACAATATATCTATAAGTTGTTGCCATTATAATTAAGTGACAATAGTTTTCAAAACTCTTTTTCAATTTTTTTAAAGCTGTCATGAACATATTTCAATTATTCATATTTTTTTTTCTAAAACCCTTGTCTTAAGCTCCCACATATTTTTTTCTAATTTCAATAAAACAATAGTTTTTTTAAACTATTTTTCAAAATTGTTTTAAATTATAATTTAATTAAATTCTGAGATGTGGCCATGACACCCAATGTCTCAGCACCCTACAAAAGATACGCCAATTAATTGAACAAAGAAAACAGAGCAAGGGAATCATAAAATACGATCTCCATACTTCAATTCTATGCAAAAATCAATTAAAAACCTCCACTCGGATAAAACCGAATAAGGGCGGATAAAGCATTTTGAACACATATTATGACAAAAATCTTATCATATCGTATTTAATATAATCAGAATTGAATTATTTAATATTTTTTTGAGAAAAAAATTTTAAAAAATAATTCACGGATAAAAACGGATAAATGCGGATAAGCCATTTTCATTGCAAATATCATAAAATTTTTTTTATATTAAGTAAATCATGATCAATATTTTATAAAAATAACAAAATTATAAAATTTTTTTGAAAAAATTTCGAAAATTAAAATTTTGGATAAAAACGGATAAACGCGGATAAGGCATTTTTGCAAAATAAATTGACATTTTTTCATCGGCTTTGCATTAATTAGCAACAAAACTAATTTTCTAGCAATTTTTGGAAAAATTTCAGCCCAAAAAAATTTTACGGATAAACGCGGATAACTGATTTTTTGAAGAATTTTCATCAAAATTGGCATCCCTAACAGTCTACATTACTCCTATGGGCAAATCGCGTATTTAAAAGGCTATTTTGAGCAAAATTTTCATCTGCGGATAAAAACGGATAAACGCGGATAATCAAGTTTTAGGTTTTTTTTTTCATCAAAATTGTTATCCCTAACAATATACATTAGTCCTCTAGACATATCACGTATTTTATATGCTATTTTTGTAAAATTTCCATCTGCGGATAAAAATGGATAAATGCGGATAACTGATTTTTTGAAAATATATCGTCGAAATTTGCATCTACATATTCCTACATTACTCCCATAGACAACATAAGCATTTTAAAGGCGATTTTCATGAGAATTACATTTGCGGATAAAAACGGATAAACGCGGATAACTGACTTTTTAGAAGATTTTTCATCAATATTGTTATCCCTAACAACCTATATTGCCCCATAGACAAATCTCGTTAATCTTAAGGCTATTTTAGTAGAATTTAAACACGTGGATAAAAACGGATAAATGCGGATAACCGATTTTTTGAAGATTTTTCATCGAAATTTGTATCTACACATTACCACATCGCTTCTGTAGACATCAAAAGCCTTTTTTAGGCAATTTCCCCGAAAATGTCATTATCGGATAAAAACGGATAAGCGCGTATTTATTTAATTATTTAATATTTTTTTGAGAAAAAAATTTAAAAAATAATTCACGGATAAACGCGGATAAGCCACTTCCACGGCAAATATCATACAAAAATTATATTATATTAAGTAAATCATGATCCATATTATTAAAATAATAAAAGTTTTAACATTTTTTTTTAAAAATTTTGAAAATTAAAAATTTGGATAAAAACGGATAAACGCGGATAAGGCATTATTGCGAAATAAATTGACAAATTTTCATCGGCTTTGCATTAATAAGCATCAAAACTAATTTTCTAGCAATTTTTGAAATAAAAATCGGCTCAAAAAATTTCGCGGATAAAAACGGATAAACGCGGATAAGGCATTTTTGCGAAATAAATTGACAAATTTTCATCGGCTTTGCATTAATTAGCATCGAAACTACCTTTATAGGAATTTTTGGACAAAAATCCGCTCAAAAAAATTTCACGGATAAAAACGGATAAACGCGGATAATGGATTTTTATGTCAAATTTTGGTAATTTCTTACTATTTTCAGTAGCATATAATGAAAATGAACAAAATGACAAAAAATTACCAATTTTTTCGAAATTTAAAAATTTGGATAAAAACGGATAAACGCGGATAAGGCATTCTTGCGAAATAAATTGACAATTTTTCATCGGCTTTGCATTAATTAGCATCAAAACTAATATTCCAGCAATTTTTGGAAAAATTTCCCCCCTCTTTTGTGAAAATCCAAAATTCGGATAAAAACGGATAAACGCGGATAAGCCATTTTTAGGCTAAATGTGGAGAAAATTGTTTAATAAATGTGTTATTAACGTCGATAAGTAACCAATTAAATAAAATCCGGGTATTTTCTGAAAATTTTCCAAAAATTTAAAAACGCGGATAAAAACGGATAAAAGCGGATAATGTATTTCTGGACCACATATTTAAGAAATTCTTTGGGAGTTATGTTGGTGAAGTCATAAACAATTTATTTACTCAAATTTGAAGCATTTTTATAAAAATTGGAAATTCGAATAAAAACGGATAAACGCGGATAAGCCATTTCTAGGCCAAATATTGAGGAAATTAGTTCATACAGGCATGTCACAGAAGTTTTACGAAATCGATTTATTTCACCCTTTCCAAATCGTTACGATTTGCTTTTGCTTCTTCAGCACTCGTACGTTTTGACTAGTCCGGAAAAAAAATCATTTCACATTTTTGAAATAAAAATATGGTAACTCCATGAAAAAAACGTCGTAAACAAATTATTGACAATTAAAAAAGGAGTTTAAATTGTTTTTTATAATATAAACACCAAAAGTAAAAATGCCAGGGGCTTCAATACTTGCTGTAATGGATGAAGAAATAAATCAGCGGTCTACTGAAAAAATTCGTCGCCGGACATTGAGGAACGCATCAGATTCATTATCTCACTCAAATGCAGAGTAAGGATCCACCAGCAATGAGTTATTTTCAAATTTATTTTAATAATAATTTATTTCTATAGATTTATAACTTATTATCGGCTAAATAAAGAAGCTTTTGTTTTAGATTGGGAAAAATTTTTCCCCACCTAAAACGTTCCAATATACCGGCTATTATCCAGCTTGCAACAACGCTACGGGTGCATTTCAAGGAGTTATAGGTAGAGATGTGGAGCTAAGCCTTGGGAGAAGTACAGTTTCTACAATTATGTGGAGAGTTATTAATGCAATTGAAGCTGAAATTTGTCCACATTGGATCAAATTAAGAATGTCTTCCGAAGAAAAAAGAAAGTCGAAATTGTACTTTTTTGAAAATTATGAAATTCCAGGAATTGTAGGATGCATTGACGGAACTCACGTTAGAATGGTTAAACCTTCCGAATTCATGGATTAGAAAAATAATAGATTTTTTGTAAAATAAATTCCAAAAACATGTTAACTCTAAGAGAATTTGGTTAATACAATATTTTCTGTTAAATGTATGTGTCTTCTGTTTATTTTTTACGTTAAAATCACTAAACATTTCAATTTCACCCTGCTTTTTGAAAGTGATATCAAAACGCAAAATTTTTGCGTTTTCCGTTTTTTAGAGAAGCTAAAACCGTTTTCGTTTTCACTCTTGAACGATTTTACATTCTGTGACATGCCTGATAAACTTGTTATTTACGTCGATAAGTAACCAATTAAATAAAATCCGGGTATTTTCTGAAAATTTTCCAAAAATTTAAAAACGCGGATAAAAATGGATAAACGCGGATAAGGCATTTTTAAGCCCGAAGAAATTCATTCGCAGTTATGTTGATGAAGTCAAAAACTGTTTATTTACTTAAATTTGAAGCATTTTTATAAAAATCGGAAGTTCGGTTAAAAACGGATAAACGCGGATAAGCCATTTTTAGGCTAAATATGTAGAAATTTTTTTCATAAACTTGTTATTTACGGCGATAATTACCCAAATAAATGAAATCGCGGTATTTTCTGAAAATTTCCCAAAAATTTAATAATGCGGATAAAAACGGATAATCGCGGATAAGGCATTTTTATTTTTTATTTATTAACTAAAATTGTTAGCTTTTTGGTGAGAATCCAAAATTCGGATAAAAACGGATAATCGCGGATAAGGCATTCCTAGGCCAAATATGAAGACATTTGTTTTATAAACTTGTTATTTAACTCGATAAGTAACCAATTAAAAAAAAACCGGGTATTTTTTGAAAATTTCCCAAAAATTAAAATGTGCGGATAAAACCGGATAATCACGGATAAGGTATTTTTAGGCCAGCTATTATAAAAATTCTTTCGAATTAATGTAGATAGAGTCAAAAACCATTAAATAACTAAAATTGTTAGCTTTTTGGTGAGAAACCAAAATTCGGATAAAAACGGATAATCGCGGATAAGGCATTTTTAGGACAGCTATTGCAAAAATTCTTTCGCACTTATGTTGATGAAGTCAAAAACTATTTATTTACTCAAATTTGAAACATTTTTTATAAAAATCCGAAATGCGGATAAAAACGGATAAGCCATTTCTAGGCCAAATATGGATAAAATTGTTTCATTAACTTGTTATTTACGTCGATAAGTAACCAATTAAATAAAATCAGGTATTTTTTGCAAATTTTCCAAAAATCAAAAAATGCGGATAAAAACGGATAATCGCGGATAAGGCAATTTTAGGACAGCTATTGAAAAAATTCTTTCGCACTTATGTTGATGAAGTCAAAAACTATTTATTTACTCAAATTTGAAGCATTTTTATAAAAATCAGAAATTCGGATAAAAACGGATAAACGCGGATAAGGCATTTCTAGGCCAAATATGGATAAAATTGTTTCATTAACTTGTTATTTACGTCGATAAGTAACCAATTAAATAAAATCAGGTATTTTTTGCAAATTTTCCAAAAATCAAAAAATGCGGATAAAAACGGATAATCACGGATAAGGCATTTTTAGGACAGTTATTGAAGAAATTCTTTCGCACTTATGTTGATAAAGTCATAAACTATTTATTTACTCAAATTTGAAATATTTTTATAAAAATCGGAAATTCGGATGTAAAAACGGATAAGCGCGGATAGGGCATTTCTGGGCAAAATATGGAGAAAATTAATTCATAAGCTAGTTATTTACATCGATTATTAAACAATTAAAAAAAATCCGGGAGTTTTTTTTGAAAATTTCGCAAAATCAAAAAATGCGGATAAAAACGGATAATCGCGGATAAGGCATTTTTGGGACAGCTATTGAAAAAATTCTTTCGAATTAATGTATATAGAGTCAAAAACTATTTATTAACTAAAATTGTTAGCTTTTTGGTGAGAATCCAAAATTCGGATAAAAACGGATAATCACGGATAAGCCATTTCTAGACCAAAGATGAAGAAAATTGTTTCATAAACATGATATTTATATCGACTAGTACCCAATTTAATAAAATTCGGATATTTTTTGAAAATTTCGCAAAATCAAAAAATGCGGATAAAAAACGGATAATCGCGGATAAGGCACTTCTAGGCAAGCTATTGCGAATTTTCTTTTTAAATAATATAACTTAAAGGGAAAACTGTAGAATTTATTCAAATTTGAAATATTTCATGGAACATTTTTGAAGTAAAAAAAAAACGAAAATTTTTTCTCCGAAAAAAATTTGAAAATTTGTTATCCCAAAAAAATTTAAATTTTTTTTTTTTTGTTTAAATTGTTACATTTAACTACATTGTTTAAGTTTAAAATGTTGTTTAAGTTCCGTTAAAAGCCTAAAAATTTGTCTGACACACAATCCTTTGTTCATTTTGCACTTTATAGCTCTTCTCTCCGCCTTCACCCCTCGCTCCCCATCTCTTTACTCTTTTTTCCCTTCTGCCATCAATTAAAATGTATTTTTTCGTTTTTGCTTCAATGTTCATTTTAAATAGTTTTATAGACTTGTCCATATAGTTGTCGTTTGTCGTGGTTGTTGTTGTTGCCATTGAAAATTGTCAACGTCATTACCTCTCTCGACAGCCCCGTCTACGAGCACTTCAATGAGCATCTATCTATCTGTAAAGTATATTTGCCACACACACACACTCACACAAACGTGCTCACGTACACATCAATTAAATTGAGAACGCAAAAGAATATCGATGATGACAACAGAAAAAAAGTTTTTTTTTCAATTTTTTTTTTCGTCAAATTAATTGACAACATCAACATATCATTGGCGTATTGAACCGTACTCGAATGAGACAAGCAAGCAATTGAGGTATCGGAATGGCGAGGGGAACCTTGAAGAAAGAAGAGAAGGAATGGGGAGGAAAGGTGGAGGAGCATTTAAGGCAACCTTAAGTGAGGGAATTTTTTCTTGCAAGGCCTCTTTGAGAGGTGCCTCAAGAAAGGTAATTTTTTTGGCTTTTAAAATAGAAGGGATTTTCGGGGGTCTCTTCTGAAAAAACAAACATTTTTTGAAACTATCTCAAAGGAGTTCATTTTTTCCCCAAGGGTTTTAATTTTTCCCCAAACATGGAAGGGCCTTTCAGGAGTGTTCTGAGAAAAAAAAAGAGAAATTTTGGAGATACCTCAAGGAAGGTAATTTTTTCCTCGAACATGGAAGAGCTTTTCGGGAATGTTCAGGAAAATAATTTTTTTGAAGGTACCTAAAGGATGTTGATTTTTCCTTAAGGGCTCTTATTTTTTTCCTCGAACATGGAAAAGATTTTCGGGAGGCTCTGAAATTAAAAAACAAATTAATTATTTTGGAATTACCCCAACGGAGTTAATTTTTTCCTATAAAATAAAAAGGCTTCTTGGGAGTCTCCCGAAAAAACGAAATTCTTTTGGAGATACCTCAAGGAAGGAACCTAAAATAGAAGGGCTTTTTGGGAGTGTTCCAAAAAAAATAATTTCTTTTGGAACCACCTCAAGCGAATTGATTTTTTCCTCAAGGATTGTTATTTTTTTTTTTTCTAAAAAGGTCTTTCTCCCAAAAAAAATCTTTTGGAGGTACCTCAAGTGTGGTAGTTTTTTCCTCGAAACTGAGAGGGCTTTTCGAGAGTGTTCTGAAAAAAAATTCTTTTGGAGGTACCTCAAGGAAGTGGATTTTTTCCTCAGGGCTTGTAAATTTTTCCTCTAAACTAAAAGGATTTTTGGGGATCTCCTGAAAACCCAAAGAAATTCTTTTGGAGATACCTCAAGAGAGGTAATTTTTTGGAAGGGCCTTTCGGGAGTGATCTGAAAAAAAATTCCCTTGGAGTTGAGGTACCTCCAAGAAAGTGGATTTTTTCCTCAAGGGTTGTAATTTTTTCTCTAAATGAAAGTGCTTTTTGTGGATATCCCGAAAAAAATGAAATTATTTCGGAGATACCTCAAGGAAGTTAATTTTTTCATCTAAAATAGAACGGCTTTTTGAAGGTGTTCTGAAAAAAATGAAATTGTTTTGGAGGTTCCTCAAGGAAGTGGATTTTTTCCTAAAATGCTGTAAATTTTTTTGGAGATACCTCAATGGAAGTTATCATTTCCTCTAAAATAGAGGGGCTTTTCGGGAGTGGTTTAAAAAATGAACTTTTTTGAAGGTACCTCAAAATGAAATTTTTTGAAGGTACCTCAAGGGCGTTAATATTTTTTTCAAGGGTTGTAGTTTTTTCCTCTAAAAAAAAAAGGATTTTTGGGGGGTCTCTCGAAAAACCAAAAAAAATCTTTTGGAGATATCTCAAGGGAGGTAATTTTTTTTCTTGAACATAGAGGGGCTTTTCAGGGATCTTCTGAAAAAAAAAAATAAATTCTTCTGGAGATACATCAAGGAATTTGATGTTTTCTTTAAAGGATGTCATTTTTTCTCAAACTTGGAAGGTCTTTTAGAGAGTGTTCTGAAAAAACTGATATTCTTTTGGAGATACCTCAAGGGAGATTATTTTTTCCTCTAAAATAGAAGGGCTTCTCGGGAGATTCTGAAAAAAAAAAAACAAAAAAAAAATCTTTTGGAGGTACCTTAAGGGAGTTGATTGTTCCCTCCAAATTAAAAGTGCTTTTCGGGGGTCTCCAGAAAAAAAGAAATCCTTTCGAAGATAATTTTTTTATTCTAAAATTGAAAAATCGGAAAGATCTGGACCTGCGTTGATTCCATTCTGACTCTAAGCCAGTCTAAAGACCCCTGAAAAAATACCCCACCCTCTCTTCTCCAATTAAAAAAAGTTCTTCACTGTTTTTTTTTTTCAAAAAAAGGGCAAACACTGCGTGGAGGTCATTTTAGCCCTAAGCCAGATTAAAGGACTCTTAAAAAATACCGCACCCTCTCGCCACAACGTCACCTTATGTTCAATTATTTTTTTCCTCTAAGCGAGGTTCAATTGCTCTCCTAATTGAGGCCCCTTTGAAGACCTCTAAAATACAACAACACCCCCTAATGTCAAAAATTAATTTTAACTTCCCCTCTGGCCACAAAACATAAACTATAACGGGTTCCACGGGAGGTTCCTCAAGGGAGATAATTTTCTCCTCTAAATATAATTTTTTGTGAGGTCTCCAATTCAAAATAAGAACTCCGCAGAATTTTTTTTCCCAAAAAACAGGGACAAAGATCAGGACTTGCGTTGATCCCATTCTGGCCCTAAGCTAGACTATAGGCCCCACTGTCCGCCATAATATCGAATTATGTTCAATTATTTTTTCCTCTAAGCGAGGTTCACTTGCTCTCCTAATCGAGGAACCTTTGAAGGCCTCTAAAACAAAAATGTCAAAAAAAAAATTATTTCCATTTTTCCTCCCCCCTTGCAGCAATACACACACTATAACGGGTTCCATAGCATCAGCAATGAAATCTTCCGCATTTATGTGTCTCTAATTGCATTGGTAGTGTGCCCTCTGTTGGGCGCCACATTTTTCCTCTATTTTGTCCAGCCAACCTTTAGGAAAAACTCTTTAAGGCCTCTAAATTAGTATAACACCCTTCCCCTTTAATGTAACATACTGCATAGGGTGCCACAGCATCAACATCTCTTCCAATAAAATTTTGCAGATAGGGTGCCCTCTGTTGGGCGCCACGTTTCGCAACTACTTTGCCAAGCCAGTCTTTCTTCGAGACTCTTTAAAGTCCGAAATACCCAGACCCCGTCGTCAAAATATTGCCTTCATTTCCCCTTAGAGAGAAGCTTACTTGCCTCCCCCCCTTTGAAGGCCTCTGAAAGAATTCCACCCCTAACTCACCCATACAAACCTCTACCAGTCTGACTGAAATCACGTCGAGAGGGTGCCATATTTCCCCTCTCCTTTGCTCTGCCTGAGCTCTTTGAAGGCACCTTGAAATATTACCCCCGACAACAACATTTTGCCCTCATTTTCAGTTATTTTTCCCTGTAAGAGAAGTTTGCCTTTTGAAGGCCTCTGAAGTAATACACCACACCCCCCCTCTCAAAGCACCAAAACATAACCCTGCCTCACTCATTAATTCAATAGCTCTACCTTATACAAATACAGCATCGATTACATCTCTTCCGCTGGTCTAACTAAAATGAAGCCGATAGTCTACCTTCAGTTGGGCGCCACTTTTCCTCTTTGCTTAGCCCAGCCAGCCTTTGTTAAGACTCTCTAAAGGCCGAAATATTACCCCTTGTCCAAAAGAACGCCTTAAGTTTAAATTATTGTTCCCTTTGGAGAGAACCTCTCTTGTTCCCCTTTGAAGGAATATGAAACAGTACTATATAAACCCCTCACTCACCTGTAAACTAGCTCCACTGTTCGCCGTCACAGCATCGACAACATCTCTTCCACTCGTCTGACTAAAATTACGCCGATACGCAGCCCTCTGGTGGGCGCCGCCACCTCGCTTCCTCTCGTCCTGGCCGGCCAAATCCAATATGTCGAACAGATCACTGTCCATACTGTACGAATTCCGCGACTTCTCATTCAACAGCTCCAGCTTGCGCGAATCCAAACTATCCCGATACACGTTACGCATTTGGTCCAGATTGTGCTCGTAGTCTGAGTCTAGCGTAAAGCTATTGCGCGACGCACTGCGACGTTCGGCCAGCTTACGAGCGGAACCGTGTAACGACGTTTGTGACGTTTTGCGACGTCGCACTACCGTTTGCGGCGTAACAAATGGTGAGGGAGCCGAAACGTTTGCTGGTGTGCCAACGGGCGATGGCATGACGAAGGAGCTGTTGTCGGAGATGTGGGTGTTGGTGGTGGTGTCCGCCATCGTCGAGGCCGAATTGAGTGCCGGATCCATGAGACTGATTTGGGAGAGTTTACGCTCCAGCTGTTTTTCGTAGCCATTGAATTTGTCGTAATCGATGAAGGACATGTTCTCATAGCTGACCATGTTGTCGATGGCCTGCAGGGATTGCAGCGAGGCCCGCCATTTGTCGTTGAGTTTCTCCTTTTTCTTTTCGCCGCCACCCGTTAGGCCGGCCAGGGTGCTTTTGAAGGAGGACATAAAGGTGTTGGAGCGGCGTCTCTTGAAATTGGCAATGGGATCGAAATTGGGATCGGAGGCCAGCAGAACAGGGGTGGAGGTTTTCCGGGGCTTATTGCCGGCCGTTGAGTCCACAGGGGTTGAGGTGGCGGCGGCAGTAGTGGTTGCTTCTGTTGGCCTCAGTGGGGTTATATCCACATTTTCCACGGAATTTTTACGCGGCGAGGCCGGCGAGGAGGCATCAGCCTCCTCTGACAGCTGTTCCAGCTGAGGTTCTATCAGACTTCGGCGATTTGTGCGCCTTGGCAAAATCATAGAACGACTGCGGCTGAATTTGTAGGGCAGCTCTCCGCCCGCATCCTCCTCAGCTTTGCTTAGATTCTCTTTGCTGCTGGTTATGGAATTGATGAGTTTGGAGAGTTTGCCTCTCAACGAAAAGCTTCCGGATCTCTCAAATTTGGGCGGACCATTTTCATAGCCCGGAATCAGGGATTTATTGGCGGCTAGTTGTTGTTTTAGCAATTGTTGTTGTTCATGATATTCACGTAATTTTTGGCTAACATTATTGTTAGTGTTGGTGTTGTTGTTGTTGTTATTATTATTTTCTGTCACAACATTATTGTTATTGTGATTGACGACAACAACGACAGGGTTGCCATTCTTCTGGGATTTGTTGTTGGCCTGCAGGGAATTTCGTTGATTTTTACTTAACGTTTGTTCGTCTTGGTCTTTGGTTTTGTTTTGTTGTTGTTGTTGTTGCTGCTGTTGTTTTTTAATTGATTTTTGCTGTTTCTTTTGGGCCTTGGCCGAGACCTTTGCGTCCTTTGATGAATTCATTTTCGGATTAGCGGGGATGTGTGGTTTTTGCAGGCTTTAGCTAAAGTTGGCGCGGGGCAGGAATGATTCAATCATTGACAAGTCATGGGTGGCCTGGGAATGAGAGAAGGGGAGTAAACAAAAATTAATTATTAAAATTATAATTAAATTAAGAATAAAAAAATTTAAATTAAAAAAAATGAATAAATAAATAAATATAAAAAATTAAATAAATGAATATTAAAGGAAATAAAATTAAAAAAATAATTAATTAATAAAATAAAATAAAATTAATTTAAAAAATATACAAAAAAAATTAATTAATTAAAAATAAAAAAATTAAAGTTAAAAAAATTAAATAAAAAAACTAAATAAATAAAAATTATATAATTAAAATACAAAAATTAAATAAATTAATATTAAAGAAAATAATATTAAAAAATTATAAAATTATTAAAATAAAAAAAATTCATTTAAAAAATATAAAATTAAAAAATAATTAAATTTAGAATAAAAAAAATTAAAATTAAAAAAAAAATAAATTAAAAAAAAAAATTAAATAAATTAAAATACAAAAATTAAATAAATTAATATTAAAGAAAATAAAAGTAAAAAATAAATAAATTAATAAAATAAGAAAATTCACTAAAAAAAAAATGTAAAATTAAAAATAATTAAATTTAAAATAAAAAAAATTAATATTAAAAAAAATTGAACTAAAGAATTAAGTTAAAATATTAAAAATTAAATAAATACAAAATAAAAAAAATTAAAAAGAAATAATTATATTAAAAAAATAAATTAAAAATAAAAAAATTAATACATCAAAAAATTAAAATTAAAAAATAAAAAAATTGAAATTTTAAAAATAAAATTAAATAAACTAAAGTTAAAAAAAAAATAAATTAAATAAATTGAAATTAAAAACAAATGAAAAATAAAAAAATCAAATAAATTAAAATTAAAAATAAAATTATATAAATAAAATTAAGGAAATTAAAACTAATAAATATTAAAATAAAATATTAAAATTAAATAGATAAAAATTAAAAAAAAAATAAATTAAAAGAGCTAAATTAAAAATAAAAGAAATAAATTAAAATAGTAAAATTAATATTAAATTAAGAATAAATAAATTAAATAGCTAAATTTAAAATAAAAAAATTAAATTAAAAAAAATAAATTAAATAAATTAAAATTAAATTAAAAATAAAAAATCAAATAAATTTAAATTAAAAACTAAAATTAAAACTAAAAAAATAAAATTTAAATATTTAAATTAAATAAATTAAAATTAAAAAAAATAAATTAAATTAAAAATAAATAAATTATTGCATTAAAAAATTAAAATTAAAAAAAATAAAAAGTTGAAATTATAATAATAAAATTAAATAAATTAAAATTAAAAAAAATTACATTAAATAAATTATCATTAAAAAAATAAATACAAAATAAAAAAATCAAATAAATTAAAATTAAAAAATAAAATTATATAAATAAATTTAAAAAAATTAAAACTAAAAACAAATAAAATTAAAATATAAACATTATATCGATAAAAATTAAAAAAAATAAATTAAATTTAAAAAACTAAATTAAAAATAAAAAAAATAAATTAATTAAAATTAAAAAAAAATAAATTAAATAAATTAAAATTAAAAACAAATGAAAAATAAAAAAAATAAAATTAAAAATAAAATTATATAAATAAAATTAAGAAAATTAAAACTAAAATATATTAAATTAAAATATTAAAATTAAATAGATAAAAATTAAAAACTAAATAAATTAAAAGAGCTAAATTAAAAATAAAAGAAATAAATTAAAATAGTAAAACTAAAATTAAATTAAATATAAATAAATGAAATTAAATAGATAAATTTAAAATAAAAACATTAAATTAAAATAGTAAAATTAAAAAAAATAAATTAAATAAATTAAAATTAAATTAAAAATAAAAAATCAAAAAAAATTAAAATAAAAAACTAAAATTAAAACTGAAAAAATAAAATTTAAATATTTAAATTAAATAAATTAAAATTAAAAAAAATTAATTAAATTAAATAAAAATAAATTAAAAATAAGAAAAATTAATACATTAAAAAATTAAAATTAAAAAATAAAAAAATTCAAATTATAATAATAAAATTAAATAAATTAAAATTAAAAAAAATTAAAAATAAAAAATTATAATTAAAAAAATAAATAAAATATAAAAACATCAAATAAATTAAAATTAAAAAAAAATTAAGCTAAAAACAAATTAAATTAAAATAAAAAATTATATAGATAAAAAATAAAAAAAATAAATTAAAAAAGCTAAATTAAAAATAAAAAATTAAACTAAAGTATTAAAATTAACTAAATTCAAATTAAAAAAAAATAAATTAAAAATAAAAAAAAATTATACATTAAAAAATAAGAAATATGAAATTATAATAATAAAATTAAATAAATTAAAATTAAAAATAAATAAATTAAATTCAATTAAATAAATTAAAATTAAAAAGACAATTATTTAAAATTAAAAAACAAAATTAAATAAATAAAATTAAAAAAATTAAACTAAAAAAAAAATAAACTAAAATATTAGAATTAAATAGATGAAAATTAAAAAAATAAATTAAATTAAAAAAGCTAAATTAAAAATATAAAAAATTTAATTAAAATAGTAAAATTAAATAAATTAAAATTAAAAAATAAATAAACTAAATAATTTAAAATTAACAATAAAATTAAATTAAAAATAAAAAATCAAATAAATTAATATTAAAAAATAAAATTATATAAATAAAATGTAAAAAATTAAAACTAAAAAAAATTAAATTAAAATATTAATATTAAATAGATAAAAATTAAAAACAAAATTAAATATGAAAAAGCTAAATTAAAAATAATAAAAATTAAATTATAATAGTAAAATTAAATAAATTAAAAATAAAAAAAAATAAGTTAAATAAGTTAAAATTAAATTAAAAATAAAAAATTAAATAAATTAAAATTAAAAAATAAAATTAAAACTAAAAAAATAATATTAAAATATTTTAATTAAATAAATTAAAATAAAAAAATAAATTAAATTAAAAAATCATAAATTAAAAATAAATAAATTAATACATTAAAAAATTAAAATTAAAAAATAATAAAATGAAATTATAATAATAAAATTAAATAAATTAAAAGTAAAAAAATTAAATTAAATTAAAAAAATTATAATTAAAAAAATAAATTAAAAATAAAAAATCAAATAAGTTAAAATTAAAAAATAATATTATATAATATATAAATAAATTAAAAAAAAAATAAAACTAAAAAAATAAAATATTAAAATTAAATAGATAAAAATAAAAATAAATAAATTAAATTAACACAAGCTAAATAAAAAATAAAAAAAAAATAATTAAAATAATAAAATTAAATAAATTAAAATTGAAAAAAATTAAATAAATTAAGATTAACAAAAAATTAAATTAGAAGTAAAAAATCAAATAAATTAAAATTAAAAAAATAAAATTATATAAATAAAATTAAAAATAAAAAAATCAAATAAATTAAAATTATTATTATTAAAATATTAAAATTAAATAAATTAATATTAAAAAATAATTATATTAAAACAAGTAAAAAATTTGTAAGCTCGCCCCGGCCGAACTTTGTATACCCTCCACAATTTGGAACGAATTTGGTAATTTTCAAAAAAAAAAATAAATCCGTTAAAAATTCTGTTAAAATCTTAGAAATACCGAATGTAGCCGTTATATTGTGGTCTATACGACGACGTGGACCTGCATAGGCAACTTTTGTCATAAGCCATTATAATATTCAAATGCGAAACTTGAAACGAAAATCGGTGAATAATGTCGCTAAAATCATCAAAATACCGAATATCGGGGGGTACCGTTTTATGGGGGCTATACGAAGACGTGAACTTGCACAGACAATTTTCTGTCAAAGGCTGTAGTACCCATTACGAACTTCAAATAGCAAATTTGAAACATTTTCGGTGAATAATGTCGCTTAAATCACCAAAATACCGAAAAAGGGAGGTAATATTATATAGGGGCTATATCAATACGAAGACCTACATGATCCATTTTCAATACCAAAAGTCCTGCACACATAATACACATTTGAGCAAAATTTTATCAACCTACTTCATTTCGTTCGGAAGCTAGAGTGATTTGAAGAATATATATACTTTGTGGGGTCTAAACTTATAAAAATATTTTCCAAAAATAAATGTAAACAAGGGTGTGAACCCCCCTAATTTAAAATTTTGTAACTAAATACTTTTTTTTATCATAGCACACAACAACAACAACAAAAAATCCCCAAAAATACACCATTCTATGTTCACTTCAAAAAGACTGATTCTGTTTTTGTTAATATTTTTGTTGTTGTTGTTGTTGTTATTTTTGATAGTAACACAGCACAAAGAACTTTTCATATCAAACCCTTGATATTTTTATGATCCGCCAGGCTGTTATCAATTTTGTTCGTGAGTGCGTGCCACGGCGTATGTGTGAATGACTAAAATAATGTGGAAAACGTAGCGGCACAAATATGTCGTTGTATCAGAATTGAAACAAAAAAATAACAAAAAAAAATTGAATTTCGAAAACAATATCAGTTGAATTGCAAGAGCAACAACACCAACAGAAGCGAAAATCCCTCCAAAGAATAAAACAAACAAAAATCCCCTGATAGGAAATATTACAAAAATAGCAACGACAACGAAAAATCGGGGGTAATACATCGGAATTAGTGCCAAATGAGTCAAGCCTTGTTTCTGGGTACTACAAACTTGGGCGTGATGACGAATGTTCCGGCGAAGAAGGGTGTGAATTGTGTGATCGAAGTTCTCCACTTGATCTAATGTTGAGATGTGGAAAAATTAAAGAAAATCGGAAATTTCCAGTTTTATGTTACCTTTTGAGGGGGAGGTACCAGATGCAGTGGACCGATATATCCCATCTTCCCACCAGATCTTGTCTGATTGGAAATATTGGGATGTGTGGAATTTGAAGAGAATACGATGATTATTCAAGAGTCGGATAAGTATTTCGTATTTTAAGAGTTTTTTGACCTCTTTGTGGGGGAGGTACCAGAAGCAC